CAAAGCCCAACTCTTCCACCGTGCATATAGCCATGCGAAGAGCCGCAGGCTCTCTCCATTGTGCACAGAGCCATGGGAAGAGCACAGACTCTTACACTGCGCACAGAGTTGTGCGAAGAGCCGCGAGTTCTTCTTCCACCGAGCACAGAGCCACGCGACCCAGTTCCTCTTTCTGTATTGCAAAGACCCATCCTCTGACCATCTATGTTGCACAGATGCACAGACACACAACCTTCTTCTTTCACTGTGCGCAGAGCCGCATGTGTGAAGCTTTTCTAGCCGCGATTTTCTTCATTCGTAGACGCATCGTTTGCTGTGCCTTAGTGCAAGATGGTATACGCGATTTGCTCCATTTTTCTTGCCACCGTGTACCAAAGATCTGCCTGAGCCGAGGAAGCCGAAGATCTGCTTGAGCCGGGTCTAGTTTGAGCCGACTTGAGCTGCTGTCCAAGCTGAGCCGCTTCCGAGTTGAGCCGAGTTTGAGCCGAGTTTGAGCCGACTTCTAGCCCTTTTTGAGGAAACTTCAAGCTGTTTTTGAGTTGATTTTGAGCTGTTTTTAGTAGATTTCGAGCTATTTTTGAGCCGAGTTTGAGCCGTTTTTTAGCCGAACCCGAGCCAAGCTGCCTGACAAATCTACTGTCAATTTGCAGCACTTTTTTGACATTTTTGGTACTGATTAGTAGGATGTCTCTTCAAAACATGATCTGCAAGTTGCACATATGTGATATTCTTACACCAACTTGAGGGGGGTGATGACAATCATATTTTATTATTTAATTATTTAATTATTTTATTAGTTTATTATTTAATTAGTTTATTATGATGTAATTAGGATTCTATGAAAATAATTATCACATATTATTAGAATTCTAGTAGAATAAGAATTTCATTATTAATAGGTTAGAAAATTTATAAATACCCTAAGTGTAACAATGTAAAAAGTGAGAATTAAAATTTATTTGTTCTCCAAAAATCAATAGAAGTACTGAGTTTCCTGATGTGAATGACGTTGTTCCAGCATAAATTATCTTGGTCATTTTTAGTGGAAGTTTGTTGGCCTTTTCTTTTGTACTCGAGATCCATCTATGGATTTGACTTGTTTCAGCATCCATATTAACAATAATGCTTGTACAGGAGAGTCCGATTTTTTTAAGAATACCAACGAACTTTGAGATTACCTCAATATGGAAGATATGATGGTGATTTGTTGTATTTGAAATGTGTAAATCTTTTTCCGGTCAGCCGTATGTTAAAAAAAGATCTCGTTGCAAGTTGGTATATCATCCTGTAGTGGTTGGAGTTACCCACAAGATACACAAATTAAAGTAAATTGGGAGGGTAAGGAACAAGAATTTAATATGATTTGGTGATGCACCTGCTTTAAGTAATAGTTTTTTAATTTATACTGTAGATTAAGGTATAAAACCCAAGATTAAAAGAATGTAGTCCATAATAATCCCTAGGTTCAAAATACCATCCCATACCACAATTGCTGCATTAGGACAAAAGAATGATTTGTGGTTACCACTTTACTAGGAACTTTTTTTTTGGGTGAAAATTACTATCACTTGGATATGAGCTACAACTTAACTGTTAGCATATTCTGATACTTACTTGGAAGTTATGGTTACCTAAGCATAATGCATAAAACAATAACTTTCTAGTTATTCCTGGATCCTATATGGTTGATACTTGTGTAGTAATATGTTATGCTAGTGCATGATTTGGTTCCCACTTCAGGATGATGAAACAACCTTATCAGAAGAGGAGAAACTAGCAGAAGCTGATTCAAACAGCCCTTTGGATGAGGTAATAAGCAAAGTAGTTTGTATTTTCTTTCTTTGTCAAACCCTTTTTGAAACTGTAGTTTTCTTTTTCGTTTTCATTCTTAGAAGATTTTGATAGAAGTTAAATTGACTTCGTTTCAGATTGCTTTACTGCAAAAGGAGAGTGAAATTCCTGTTGAGGAATTGATTGCAAGGTATAAAAAGGTACGTTGAAGAACTGGTTGTGCGTATGGCTTAGGTGCGTATGACATATATATATTTAATACTTTTGGGGCATGTTTCTGCTTACTAGGATTTCAATGTTGCTGAAATTTCTGAGGATGAGTCTGAATATGCCTCTGCCTTCTCAGAGGACCCATTGGATTCTAGCACCCAAGAAGACATTGAGATCAAGCAGCAGGATAATTCTTTAAACGAAAACTTTGGTCATGAATCTGTGCCAACTCTATCTCCCGTTAGAGAGCAGGAAGCCGGATCTGATGAAAAATTAGAAGGAAGCGGAAGTGACAATAGACTTGCTGATGCTGCTGCTGCTGCGCGCTCCGCTCAACCTACAGGCTATACATTCTCAACAACAAAAGTGCGTACAAAACTTCCATTTCTTCTCAAGTATTCCCTTCGTGAGTATCAACACATTGGTCTGGACTGGCTTGTCACCATGTATGAGAAAAGATTAAATGGGATTTTGGCGGATGAAATGGGGCTAGGGAAAACCATAATGACAATTGCTTTGCTTGCGCATCTAGCTTGTGAAAAGGGAATATGGGGCCCTCATCTCATTGTGGTTCCTACAAGTGTTATGCTTAACTGGGAAACTGAATTTCTTAAATGGTGTCCTGCCTTCAAAATTCTGACATACTTTGGTAGCGCAAAAGAGCGAAAGCTTAAGAGGCAAGGTTGGTTGAAGGTGAATTCCTTTCATGTCTGTATAACTACTTACAGACTTGTTATCCAGGATTCAAAAGTCTTCAAGCGCAAGAAGTGGAAATACTTGATTTTGGATGAAGCACATCTGATTAAAAATTGGAAGTCCCAGAGATGGCAAACTCTTTTGAACTTTAATTCAAAACGACGAATCTTATTAACTGGTACGCCATTGCAGAATGATCTCATGGAACTCTGGTCATTGATGCATTTCTTGATGCCCCATGTTTTTCAGTCTCATCAGGAATTTAAGGACTGGTTCAGTAACCCAATTGCAGGAATGGTAGAAGGACAAGAAAAAGTGAACAAAGAAGTTGTTGACCGCTTGCATAATGTCCTTCGCCCATTCATACTTCGGCGATTGAAAAGGGATGTGGAGAAGCAGCTTCCTAAAAAACATGAGCATGTCATATGTTGTAGACTCTCAAAGAGGCAGCGCAACTTGTACGAAGACTTTATTGCTAGTTCAGAGACACAAGCTACGCTTGCAAGTGCCAATTTTTTCGGGATGATAGGTATTATAATGCAGCTTCGCAAAGTTTGCAATCACCCTGACTTATTTGAGGGCCGTCCTATTGTAAGTTCTTTTGATATGGCTGGTATTGACATCCAGTTGAGTTCTTCTGTTTGTTCTATCCTCTCGTCAAGTCTATTTTCTACTATAGATCTAAAGGGTTTGGGACTTTTGTTCACTCATAATGATTTCAGTATGACTTCTTGGGAGAGTGATGAGTTAAAAGCAATTGCTACACCGTCAAGCTTAATCAGGGAACGTGTTTCTGCAGATAATCTGGAAGAAATTGCTCCATTCTCCAATAAAGGGACAAAGTTGGATGGAGCAGATATTTTCATAGACATTCGTAACAAAATCATGGAGGAACGATTGAGAGAAGCCAAGGAAAGGGCAGCATCTATTGCCTGGTGGAATTCACTGAGATGCCAGAAAAAACCTACCTATTCAACAACTTTACGGAATCTTCTTACAGTGAAGTATCCTGTCGATGATATTCATTATCAGAAGGCTGATCGTTTGTCCTACTTGTTTTCTTCGAAGCTTGCTGACATTGTATTTTCTCCAGTTGAGCGCTTCCAAAAGATGATTGATCTGGTGGAAGGTTTCATGTTTGCAATACCAGCAGCAAGAGTACCACCACCTGTTTGTTGGTGCAGCAAAAGTAATGCCTCTGTGTTTCTGCACCCATCTTATAAGGAGAAGTGCTCCGAATTATTGTTGCCCCTTCTATCACCAATTAGACCTGCCATTGTGCGGAAGCAGCTTTATTTTCCAGATAGGAGGCTGATACAATTTGACTGTGGTAAGCTTCAAGAGCTGGCAACTTTGTTGAGGAAGCTGAAATCTGAAGGTCATCGAGCGCTAATATTCACACAGATGACGAAGATGCTTGATATCTTGGAGGCTTTCATCAATTTATATGGTTATACTTACATGCGTTTAGATGGTTCAACACAGCCAGAGGAGAGGCAAACATTAATGCAGCGTTTTAATACAAATCCAAAGATCTTTCTTTTCATCTTGTCAACCCGAAGTGGGGGAGTTGGTATTAACCTTGTAGGAGCAGATACAGTTATCTTCTATGATAGTGACTGGAATCCTGCCATGGATCAGCAAGCTCAAGATCGGTGTCATCGGATTGGTCAGACACGTGAAGTTCATATCTACCGCTTGATCAGTGAGAGCACCATTGAAGAAAATATCTTAAAGAAAGCAATCAGAAGCGTGCTCTTGATGACTTGTTATCAGAGTGGTAACTATAACACTGAATTCTTCAAAAA